GGACATAATTACTGATTATAATGACTTATACTGTCTTTTTACACGTTGCGTTGCATTGCGTTGCATCGTGCCGCGTAAACATAAAACCATGTCTGAATTTGTGATCGGAGAAATGACAAACAATAAGTGCTACTCTACACTGCTCAAAACTCGTGTTTGAATCGTCAGTGGCAAACTCTTTAAATATAAAAAAAAACGTACTTACAGTCTGAGTCAGAACACCGGCATTGTAGTCTACTCTCCCAGGATCAGGAAACGGTCCTCCATAAATTGCGCTGCACACATCTGAATATTTGGGTTGAACTGTTCTGGAACAGTGTTGTAAATACAACTTAACCACTGATTTCTAGTCGTGTCCTCTTTTGGAAGACCAAACAAAGTAGTTTCACTTTCACAACGAAACACAGCGCCTTCAGGACATGGTGGCGGCAACAACAATACTACAGCGGGAATAAAAGTTACGCTGCCTTTCTTTGCGTGAACATTTGGGCGGCGTTATGCAAATCTTCCCACATAGTGACGTAGACATGTGGAGGCGTGTTAGAACGAGGCGTTTTAGGCAGGCGTGGTTGACTCTGAAATTTTATAAAGAATATCTCTTTGGATTTGAGACTTTAGTCTTTGCAACTTTACAGATCTTCTTTATGCACCAAGAGCGTGTAACACTCCAAAGATGAAGGAAAAATTGAAATCGCATCATATGACCCCTTTAACACATTTCACTATGTTCCACATCCAGATTTTCCCTTGAAATCAAAAAAATTTAATAAAAAAAATTACAAAAGTCTGCAAATTCCTTATAGGCCTGCTTTTACCTATGACAATTACAGCACATCTCCAGGAGCTGTTACCTTTTTGCAGCAGATGGGGACTTGGCAACAATTATAGCGTTTCTATAATCAGGAATCTAGGCAAAATAGAAATGAGAAGAACAGAAAATGATATTAATAGTTTTGTTTTCCCCTATATATATATATATATATATATATATATATATATATATATATATATATATATATATATATATATATATATAAAGTGAAGTTAATGGCTGTAAATGCTGCCTACCTCCTCCTGAATGTACTGCAGCAGGAACGGAGAAGCCCGCAGGTTGTCCACAGGGAATGTAAAGAAGCCCTGGATCTCTTTCTGGTGCAGATCCATGGTGATTAAATGAGTCAGACCTAGTTATCATTGAAATTGTTTTCAAGACTTTTTGACTGTTACTGTGAAAACAGAAGTAGGAACACGACAGCCATCATAAGCCATTACCTGCTTTAGCTAACATGGAAGCGAGCAGTTTGCACACTATAGATCCTCTCTTCCTCATCTTACACTGTTTACTGTAGGGGAAGTACGGGATCACGCCGATGATGTTCTTGGCACAGGAGGTCTTCAGTGCATAGGCCATGATCAGCAGCTCCATGATAGCAGTGTTGACATCTCTGACAGACACAGACAAATGGACTTTAGCTAATTGCTCTAAAGCGCTTCTGGGCCTGCTGAGAACTGCATTCTGAGACATGCAATTTAGCAAGAAGGTAAGACTTCACTTTGCACCTTTTGTGTTCCATGGGAAAAAAGTGGTCAAAATGACATTAGGGTGTGCAAACTTTTTTTTTTTTTTTAAGAGCACATTAAAAATATCACAATGTACAATAATGCACTATTCATGATTTTACATTACCAGAATAATCACGGCAAGTATTCGGTGAATAGGGTTGCAAAATTCCGGGAATTTTCAAGACTGGAAACTTTCCATGGGAATTAACGGGAATATATGTGAATTAACGGGAATTAATGGGAATAAACTGTAAATTTGCAGGAACTGGGGACTTAAATGTAGTTGAGAAAAAATCGTGCAGCATAACCTTGGTTAAAACAACCTGATTTATTGCAATTTCAATTTAATTTCTACCCTATAACTGCTCAATCACATGCACACTGCAGGGCTATTGAGGCCACACCCAATAGTAAAGACTTATATTGTTAGAAAAGATTTCGATTTTGAATAAACAAAGTTTTCATTCATCAATAAATCCTGAAAAAAGCATCACAGATTCCCCCTAAAAATGTCATTTTTAACATTTGTATTAGTTTGCATTAGGTATGTGCCGATACGAGTATCGGTACAGAATGGTTCACGGAGGGCAAATTCCAAATGGAAGTGATCATCCCTATCCCCTTGGAGTGGGGACTTTGGAGTGAGCAGGGCACGTGCGTGCCATTATGTAGTCGTTTGGAATGCATTTGGCAAAGCGAGCGACGTAATTTCCTCATTATCTTCAGCTGGCATGTTCCCGTGACAACGCAGCACGGTGTCCGTCAGCAGATGTCGCTGTTTTACTGTAGGGCTGTGCGATTAATCGAAATCGCGATTTGAGACGTTGCGATTTCCTAATCGCAAAGCCTGCGATGTGGACGCGATATTACTCTGTTCCAGAGCATATGCATGACTGCCAGCCTTGAGTTGCAGTCTTACTTGCCCTGGGCAAGAGTGAGTGCACCTCCGTTCTCCCCAATCAGCACCGCTCTAGCCAACTGAGTAAACACCCACCATTTAAAAAAACGGAACGCGGGACGGGAGAGAGACAGAGTGGGATTATGGCGTCTACTGGGTCAGATCGATAGTTAGGCATATTAAAACTAAAGAAAAACGTATGCAACTTAAGCTTCGAAATGACAGACAACGAACAAAAAAGGTAATTTGCAAGAGCTGTGTCACAGCGCATATCAAAACTCCCTTATCGGTTCTGTTTTCAGTACTGGAGAATAAAAGATACATTCTTAGATGTTTTTGTTAGTACGTGAACTTTATCTTGCACATTTTATCTCCCCAACAGATTAATTTGAAATAAGTTTATAATGCATGTTGGCTATTCCCAATTCAGAAGAGCGCACACACAGCCTGTGTCTGTGAATGCTGCTCATACTCGCTCATCTCTGCCCCAAGCGTCACGGACGAGCCGTTCACGCTTGCCGCACTCACGCAGCCCGTCTCGTAATGCTCGTTTAGACTCGCACCCGGCTCCGCACCGCAAGTCTTCACGAGCACATCTGGCAGTATGGACGAGGCTTGACGCATGCGCGCAACCTGTGTCGACTCTCGCCTGGCTCCGTGTTTAAAACAAATGTAAATTCAGTCTAACTGCTTGCTAATTTCATTTGGATGAAATGAAACATTCAGCACATTTTCCACTTGCTCCTAAAATCCCAAATACTTCAAATGAATAAATCAATGTAATATTTTAATAATTGGCTTACGAAATACAGTTCTTTTATTTATAACAAAATAAACAAATATTTTCTGTGAAATTCAGTAATTAAGTTAATTCTGTAAAAGTAGTTATACCATTATAATCCTATAATGCCTGCTGAAGAAAAAAACAATCATGGGAAAAAAGTGGTCAAAATGACATTAGGGTGTGCAAACTTTTTTTTTTTTTTTAAGAGCACATTAAAAATATCACAATGTACAATAATGCACTATTCATGATTTTACATTACCAGAATAATCACGGCAAGTATTCGGTGAATAGGGTTGCAAAATTCCGGGAATTTTCAAGACTGGAAACTTTCCATGGGAATTAACGGGAATATATGTGAATTAACGGGAATTAATGGGAATAAACTGTAAATTTGCAGGAACTGGGGACTTAAATGTAGTTGAGAAAAAATCGTGCAGCATAACCTTGGTTAAAACAACCTGATTTAATGCAATTTCAATTTAATTTCTACCCTATAACTGCTCAATCACATGCACACTGCAGGGCTATTGAGGCCACACCCACTACATGCACTGTGCTTTCCTCCATAACATGAACAGATCATTTCTTAAATCCAGCACACAAAAGATCTAAATTTCCATCTTGGTAAGTATTCATGTAAATTACATGAATATTGCAAAAAAAATAAAATCTTAAAACTTCCTTGTGCTGTGTGTAATATACTGTGCAACTAAATTAGGCTATACCATTGTAAAAAAAAAAAAAAATACACTGACTGAACAAACCATAGACTGGAACAATTGACCCTGCCCCACACACAATCTCTGGGGGATTCCCCTCCAGTTTCTCTGAAGATGCTGCATTTGAGCCCAAAGACTCCATCTTAAGTTTTGATATTCTAAATATATTCGATTCAATTTAACTAGTAAATACCAAAAAAAAGTGTTTTTACAGTAGCTAGCTAGCCAGTAAATCAAGATATGAAAAATCCAAGCGAGCTAGCACTATTTAATTGACAGTTTATGAGGTATAAACTAGCTCAAGCTGTGATGCTCTTTCTGCCAGCCAGTTTTCTGTTTTCATGCAGGAGTACAGTACTGGTCAAAAGTTTGGAAACATTACTATTTTAATGTTTTAAACATTGCATATCTTTTGCTCATCAAGCTTTCACTTAGTTGATTACAAATACAGAACAAAGCGGTAATATTGCAAAGTATTACTGGTATTACAATTTATAATAATGGTTTTCTGTTTTAATATACTTTAAAATATAATGTTTTTCTGTGATGCAAAGCTGTATTTTCAGCATCATTACTCCAGTCTTCAGTGGCACATGATTCTTCAGAAATCATTCTAATATGCTGATTTATAATCAATTTTGGAAACATTTGTGCCTTTTAATATTCTTTTTTTATTACCTGTGATTCTTTTTTCAGGATTCTTTGATGAATAAAGAGTTTTAAAAAAAGAACAGTTTATTTAAAATGGAAATCCGTTTTTTAACAATACACTACCATTCAAAAGTTTGGGGTCAGTATCTTTTCTCTTTTTGTTTTAAATAAATTAATACTTTTATTCAACAAGGATGTGTTCAATTAATAAAAAGTAATAGTAAAGACTTATATTGTTAGAAAAGATTTCGATTTTGAATAAACAAAGTTTTCATTCATCAATAAATCCTGAAAAAAGCATCACAGATTCCCCCTAAAAATGTCATTTTTAACATTTGTATTAGTTTGCATTAGGTATGTGCCGATACGAGTATCGGTACAGAATGGTTCACGGAGGGCAAATTCCAAATGGAAGTGATCATCCCTATCCCCTTGGAGTGGGGACTTTGGAGTGAGCAGGGCACGTGCGTGCCATTATGTAGTCGTTTGGAATGCATTTGGCAAAGCGAGCGACGTAATTTCCTCATTATCTTCAGCTGGCATGTTCCCGTGACAACGCAGCACGGTGTCCGTCAGCAGATGTCGCTGTTTTACTGTAGGGCTGTGCGATTAATCGAAATCGCGATTTGAGACGTTGCGATTTCCTAATCGCAAAGCCTGCGATGTGGACGCGATATTACTCTGTTCCAGAGCATATGCATGACTGCCAGCCTTGAGTTGCAGTCTTACTTGCCCTGGGCAAGAGTGAGTGCACCTCCGTTCTCCCCAATCAGCACCGCTCTAGCCAACTGAGTAAACACCCACCATTTAAAAAAACGGAACGCGGGACGGGAGAGAGACAGAGTGGGATTATGGCGTCTACTGGGTCAGATCGATAGTTAGGCATATTAAAACTAAAGAAAAACGTATGCAACTTAAGCTTCGAAATGACAGACAACGAACAAAAAAGGTAATTTGCAAGAGCTGTGTCACAGCGCATATCAAAACTCCCTTATCGGTTCTGTTTTCAGTACTGGAGAATAAAAGATACATTCTTAGATGTTTTTGTTAGTACGTGAACTTTATCTTGCACATTTTATCTCCCCAACAGATTAATTTGAAATAAGTTTATAATGCATGTTGGCTATTCCCAATTCAGAAGAGCGCACACACAGCCTGTGTCTGTGAATGCTGCTCATACTCGCTCATCTCTGCCCCAAGCGTCACGGACGAGCCGTTCACGCTTGCCGCACTCACGCAGCCCGTCTCGTAATGCTCGTTTAGACTCGCACCCGGCTCCGCACCGCAAGTCTTCACGAGCACATCTGGCAGTATGGACGAGGCTTGACGCATGCGCGCAACCTGTGTCGACTCTCGCCTGGCTCCGTGTTTAAAACAAATGTAAATTCAGTCTAACTGCTTGCTAATTTCATTTGGATGAAATGAAACATTCAGCACATTTTCCACTTGCTCCTAAAATCCCAAATACTTCAAATGAATAAATCAATGTAATATTTTAATAATTGGCTTACGAAATACAGTTCTTTTATTTATAACAAAATAAACAAATATTTTCTGTGAAATTCAGTAATTAAGTTAATTCTGTAAAAGTAGTTATACCATTATAATCCTATAATGCCTGCTGAAGAAAAAAACAATAGAACCCCTCCCAAAACACAATAACAAATTTAATGTATTTCAGGTTATAATGGGAATTGTATTGGTTTTAATGTAAACTATAATGGCGTATATTTTATGGATTCTATTGGTGGGATGTAATCTGGCAGATGGCAACCAATAGAACAACAGTAATTCCTATTGGAATAATGCCCAAAACAAAAAGGAATTTTGTAATGGTTTAATGGAAACTAAGAATTTCTGTGATGGTTTCTTTTGTTTTTTTCAACAGGGTAATGATACCCATACTGTGCTGCACATTATTGGCAATATTGAGCTGAAGCTTGACTTTGCAAATTTAAAATCGCAATTTGATATTTTCCCCCAAATCGCACAGCCCTACTTTACAGTCATAAATGTCTTTTTATTGTTGCAAATAAACATACATTTTAAAAACTTTTTAAAATATGCTATATAATATATAAAAACTAATATATAATTATATAACTTTTTAAAATATAAAATGTTTTTTTTTTTAATGCCGGTGTCCATCAGCGAATCTGCTGACGGACACCATGCTGCGTTGTCACGGGAACATGCCAGCTATAGATAAGGAGGAAATTACGTCGCTCGCTTTGCCAAATGCATTCCAAACGACTACATAATGGCACTCACGTGCCCTGCTCACTCCAAAGTCTTCACTCCAAGGGGACAGGGATGATCACTTCCATTTGGAATTTGCCCCGTGAACCGTTCGGTACTGATACTCGTATCGGCACATACCTAGTTTGCATGCATGTGAGCCTATGATCAAACAAAATGTTTATATTTATGTTTGTATATGATAGTTTCATAAATTTCTCCAAATTTTCTATTAATTCCCATAAATTCCCGTAAATTCCCATAAATTTCTAGTAAGTTTCCAACTTGGAATATTTCCAAAATTCCCCAGACGAAGTTCCCATGGAAAGTTTCCGCCCCTTTTGCATTCCTAACGGTGAATATATGGCATATAAAGCTCTAAGCAACTCTATAGGTTAGATACACAGAGGACACGCAATATGTGGGTTACGATCACACAGCTAAAATTCACAGGCACAAATACGTTTAAACAGTCTGAAATATACACTTCAACTTAAGCATGCAGATCTCCTATTCTGAACTGGATTCAATGCACTGCCTCTCACTGGCACTCTGACCTGGGAATGGTTTGGATGATGAAGATCGTTTGGGCTCTCACAGACTCTTTGATCTCAACCCTCGTTTCTGTCAGATAAAAGCAAAAACATCAAAATAGCAGTGGCAGATCAATTATTTAGTTGACTCTAACCTGTTTGGGCGAACCTCATGAAGAAAATGCAATATTTTACCCCAAAATAAAAATATGAAACTATATTTTGAATAATGAAATGAAGCCTATTTTTTAAGACCATCATTTCATTATTAATAAGATTCCTCCTTCTTAATAAAAATAATAACAACTCCATTCCATTATTAACCATTAAGACCATAACTACATTTAAGCACATTCATTGTAATGCATTAAAAAAACACACATTCCCATTATTAAAATATCTTCAAGGTGCCATAGAATGGAAAACTGTATTTTCCTTGGCATAGTTGAATAATAAGAGTTCTGTACATGGAAATGACATACCGTGAGCCTCAAACACCATTGTTTCCTCCTCCTTATGTAAATCTCGTGCATGCAAAAGACCACTGAAAAATAGGCGAATCAGAACATAACACCGACTGTGACGTTACAGGCGGGATCACTAATAGTTACGCCCCCAACATTTGCATATACCCGCCCATGTTCTATGCCAGGCGCCAGCCGAACCGTTAGAAGTTCAGCAGGTATAGTGAAGAAACGAGCGAGGATAATAGTGAAAATGGCAGATCACGGAAATAAATGTTAATGCTCCAGGCTGTGCAGGGATGGGTTGGTGTCTGTATTCAGAAAGGCACGGAAAACAAATAACGCGTGTTCTAATAAAATAACGCGAGTCATTAAAGGGATATGGTTAGCTGCTTGCTAGCGGTAGCCTGTTACATTACAGTACATAAGATTTCACTTA